CCGTTTGGCCAGATATAACCATGATCCAGGAATTACCTAATCGGGGCGATCAGGGTTTAGAAGGGGGGCAGTGTAACGGAAATGGCCTGGGGTACGCACGTTTGAAATGGAGGGATCAAAATTCATGGTGTTTCAGTAAATGGGAGCCCCATTTGCGCCCCATTTACTGTCAAGTATGACACTGACAAGCGGGAAGTTTCGCACCTGCTCTGGAGATTTCGAGAACCATCTGGGTTACCTGAAGGAATCTATATAAGCGGCGAGGAGAACCAGACAAGGAGAGTGAAGTGACAGGAGCGACCGGGTGCAGGAGAGGTTAAACACCGCGAGTCGGAAGAGCGAGTTTTCCGTCGGTTATTGTTATTGTTTGTGAAGTTGACGGTAATTTTGAAGTTAGTTTGTTCCTGTTCCGCATTTAAAGTTATACCGAGGTGAATAAAAGTCGGAAGCTGAAGAAAGCGTTTGATACCCGGCCATCCACGGTACAATATAGTGGTCATAGGTAATAGAGATGGAATTGTCGCCCTTTTTGAATCACCCTGTATAAGAATGCGTAAGAGAGGATGGTTACCTCTGAGGTCTTGGTGCCCGGCTTCGTCCGTTTGATTTTCATTTTGAGCCCTTTGTCGGCCGTGGCCGAGTGCTCAATGTGCATTTTGGCGGTGGCCGCAGTCTTGGACGCTTGGGGCCCACTGCCGGTATTCGCCGCCATATTGGCTCCGGTGCCGTGCACCGGCTGCTGCTGCTCGTTTGTTTTTTCAATGTCCGCGTCCAAGTCGATGATCAGGTCACCTATGCCTGCAGACACTATTTGTCAATAATTGGAAGGTTGCCGGTAAGCGAGTGAAATGGACTGACCAATGTCCCATTCATTATCATCGTACTCGAAATTAGCCGCTGTGGCTGCTGGTTGGTTAGGCTGGTGCTGCTGCGGCTGACCGGCTGATGGCTGGTGGGGCCCTCTGGCGGCCGTCGCGCCTTTGCAGGAGTCCGCCACCCTCGCTCGGTGGCCCTGGCCGTCCTGCGGATGGCCCGACCTCATTGGGGCCGCCATGGCGCCGGGCACGCTGCCGAGCTGCCCGTTCTTGTGACGCCGCCGACAAGCTGCCCCGAGCCGGCGCCCCTTTTCTCGCCACACTGCATCTTATCCCTTAAACAAAACAGAAAAAAACATTGCACGTTATGCATTTAGCAGGCGAACTTCAGCTCATTAGGATGCGCTTTGGCGCCGCGCCAGCTAGGGGAACGCAGGAATAAATGTTGAGACATTCGTCTGGGCAGTTGAAATCGCCGCGAGGCAACATAATCAAGCGGATTGTATGTGCTTTTGGTGCGCTAAAAAAACACACCTTCAATTACTGCTGCTTGCGCGCCCACACTCTCAAGAGCACCAGACACCCGAGATGCTTCAAACGCAATTCATTTTTATGTTGCGGTCGTGTTTTAAAGCGCGAGATGTAGTAAAGGAACGACTGGTCATTACCTGCTAAGACAAATTGAGCTGTTAAGCATCCAAAACTACCTGAACACGAACATAATTTCAAATCACTCAGACTGACATTTGCTGTCAGTCGAATTTGCGAACAGTTTCTGTGTTAAGTTCACCCACTGGTTAGGCAGATATCCGAATGCGCGTTGGCAACAGTGTTCTAAAGGCTCAATTAACGGTGCTAGAGCTGCGCAAGATTATCAATGCATACAAGCTTTGAATCGAATTATTGATACATTATCTCTTTTCCAAACAATAATTAAATATAATTACAATACCCATAGGTGCCCAATGAGTCAACGCCGTTCCTACATATAACCCACGTCTCAATACGGGCCGTTTTCGTGCTCGGTTTCAAACAAACAAAAAAAACTTGCAAGCAGCCCATTAATTACTACTTCACTTAATAATTCAATTCACTTAGTGAATTTGTGTTAGTACAACGGCGCAAGTGAACCGTGGCAGACCGTACAACTCAACCTTGCAAATGCACCTTAATTATCAAAACGAATAATGAAATACTGTGCTGCTCAAGCTAGTTTGACTAGTTTGCAAGCTGGAGGTCGCTTTTGTCCCGCCGATCGCATCAAATGCGAAAAATGCCCAAACTTGATGTTGATTAAATTAAATTTAGCTCTGTATCTGACCGATTTCCAGCAGTATCTCTACTCTACGGGCGGGTTGCACAAAACTCGTTAAATCGGGTTTATGTGTAGATTTGGATTGCGCAAAATTCACTCAATGTTCAGGCTTCCGGGTTATGGTCCGAGTTCAGTTAAAGCAAGCTTAATCTTCCATCCAGTAACCAAATGAAAGACAGATGCACTTTCAAGCAAACATAACTAAGCTATTTCTAATTACACGAGGCAATAAACGAAATGATTATGTGCCTTAAAAATAATTACCTGGCATACACAGAGGGCCGTTGAAATGCTCGAACATTAGCCAAGAGCCGTTTTTCATTAGACAGTTCTGACTAATGGGCACAAAAGCCGTGTTCACGCTTTAATTTAGTAATTAATTCCGCTTGGAATCAGATCGCGTTGAGAACAATGCACGGCAATAATCTGCAGCCCGTTATTTACTACTGTTTGCATAAACAAACACGTCGTCCATTACCGAGCTGTGCGAGAGTGGGCGATTATAATTTGCTGTACGGAACAATGATCTCAATTGCTTTCTCAACGGATGTGTAACATCGCAAGTGTCCAATTTTTTACCGTTGATATTTGCGGCAAACAATGCCATTTAGAACCGCACAAGCAACAATGAACAAAGACTTTGATGTGTGGCTTAATGCTTGAATAGTCACTGGAGGCTGGAAATTTTCGCTCTAAACGCCAAGTGCACTGACTAAATGTGCATAAGAGCCTTAACATAACACACCGCAATATGCACTTATTGAGAACAAATCGAGTGTTTTACTGTTCCTTTCTACGACTTTTCCATTACTTGGACAAAACCACTGCGCCTGAAATGACATGCATAAACGTTGGTATTCAAACAGTTTTGTTATTGTCATGGATACCACCATTTGTCATCGCGACACAGTGGGCCGATATAATGTACTTTGGCAACATACAAATGTCAGATTATTGAGTGAGTCTAATATTAAACTGAGGTGGATATGACGATCTTTCAAGTGAAAATTACTCAAAAAACAAATTTCGGTGAATAAACAATTTTCGGTCGCTGGTTATAATGACGTAATTCGTATTCAGCACCGGCTATCGATTGGAAACCAGGTCGCGTTATCCGTTGGGCTTCGTCGCCGGCATTCCATGTCAAAGCCGTAAACATGCACACAATGGTTATGGCAAAAATTACCTGCCCCGCATATAGTTTGATGGATTGACCTGCTCCGTCACGTTATGGCCAGTATTAATTTAGAGCCAGTTATTCAAATGTTTTTCGCCTACTTGGCCCCCGATTATTATTGCGAGTTTGCCAAATTTCCATAACCGGTACGGAACAATTGGACGGAGTCACTCTATTTCGCTAACGCGACCGATTGGAATGGTACTTAAGTGGAAGGCACTCGACCGAAAATAAAAAGCAATTAGTGTAAAAGTCATCAATTGCCCCCATTGTTGTGCCACTTGAACAATTGCCATTCAAGCCATTATAATTTTTTTAGCAACCGCAAAGAAAACATCATATCCAAACGCTTCCAGTGGCGTAGCACAAAGGTTCTTACTTGAGTTGCTTATCTGTTGTTAATGACTACTGTCAACTTCAAAAGGAGTCAATGTCAATGTTTCCGCATGTCAAGCACAGTAATAAATCAAATATCTCGAATAGAACTTCGACCAATCAAGACACCGTATAGAAACTCGGATTTTTTCTGCTTAAATCTTGTGTTTTCCTCGTCAACTGCGTCAAAAGGTTGCCAGAATGTCATTTTAAACACCTAACAAGACTGTTCGGCAATGATAATGCACTTCAACTACTTCTGTAAGGTAAACAGCGGCTGACAGATTCAAAAAAGGAAAGCTATATAAAGATGTGAAGCTCAAAGCTTTGATTTAGGTCTATTCCGAAGAGGAATAAAACCGTTTAAAAGTTGTTTCAGCTGCCCAGATTTTCGGCTCTTTATTACGCTGTATCGTTGCCAGATTGCCTGTTTGTGTAACAAAAATCTCGAGCTTATAACCTGTAACAAGCAGCAACTTTGAAGAAGAAAATTTTACAGTCTATAGAAAAGACTTGATTCTGAACACCCTGAAACTTTCATTCTAATCGAATCGGAGGATGATTTTTGCGCTCTTTGCAAATGTTGGTCGAACTAAATGTTTGAACGCAACTGCAACCTATCGAATTCATAACTTCTGATCTCAAACGAGTATCAACTTCAAATTTTCTCAATATAGAGAAAACACCTGAATCTGAAAACCCGTAAAACTGCGTTATTTGTGAATGTCGACTTAAATGTATGTTTGAACGCAAATGCAACCTCTTCATTAAAAAATCATAGCTTCCGTTCAAAAAAGAGTAGCAACTTGAATATTCTATAGAAAACACCAATCTATAGAAAACACCTGAAAACCGTGAAAAACGCGTTTAATTGAATCTGCCTCACCTCTTACATCCTCGTCGACCTGCCCTCTCTCGACTTCATAGCGACAGAGCCGGAAACAGTAACATGAGAAGTTTTGTGAACGATTGCTTAGGGGAATGAACAAAATAGAACGATTCATTGGTCTTGAGCGCGGAAAAACAAGCCGTAGCGGCAACACTGTCAGCGAGATGGCTATTGAAAGTTCGAGACAGCTCCACGGATTTAGAATTCGCGAGTTCAACTACCGATGGTGGCGCTGCGAAACGTCAAATTACTCGTTGTCGAGTGACAGTTGAGACTTGTCAGACTTGTTTATTTATTGGAGTTGATGACACTTTTCGATCTGTTCGACTGTTGCCAAACGGCTTTATAAAGGAGCGCAGCGCCCCCAAGTTGGTTATGTAGTTAGTGAACAAGCTATGAACCACGGTTAGGTGGTAGTAGTGCGATAATAATAAATAGTTGGTAATAAGGGGGGTTTTATTAACAAACGAGCTTTTTGAGCTCGCAAAAAACCGAACAATATATAAAAGTGGAGCGCAATAAACACGGAAGCACCGCGCACGAACAGCGCCAATTAAACAATTCGATGTGTTATTATTTATGATCAAAATGCCAGCGGCTCGCGTAATTGCCGCCCATATTTAAGCCGGTAACAAGGAATTAAATCGGCAACGACACGTTTCTATTTCGAACGTAATTAATGCGTTTGCTATCGGTTTCTACATTACCGAACTGCTTTAACTGTTTATTTCCTGCTGTGTCACGCAACGTGACAGTTTTCGAATTGGTGAGACAGTCAGAGAACCGAGAGACCGCGACATATTGTCTAAAAATATTCGAGCAAAAAACATCGTTTAGCGTTTAATCGACGGGTAAAAGCAAAGTTCCGCTTTCCTTATTGGATAGAGCGCGCATTAAAATCAATGGGCGCAGCATAAAAAGCCACAAACACATAAAAGAATTCTCAGGTGGAAGCAATGAGTTGATACTTACACTAAATGCCGAATTGCTGATACATACCTGAAACAGAAAAAAGGCAATTAGCTAATCTCTGGCAAAGACTAGGGCCTTAATTCTGGATGGAAAACGAATAGTTTCACCTTCAGCTGAATGTTTAGTGATTGCATTTCAATTACATCATTCATAATAACAGGCTTTCATTAGTAGAACGCCATTGGCCATACGCAGGCAGAATGTTTTACATTCAAGCCGCTACTAATTGTTTTATCTAGACTAAGACAGTTACTGTTGTTTACATTCTGGGACTTATGGACTCATTGAAGTTTGGATGGAAGAGCGCACGTGGCTGCCATTAAGGGCCCATATGTCGGATGCCCCCAAGCTGCAGATCGCGCTTTGTAAATAATTAAGCCCAAACTATCGCATGACGGGGTGAATTATTGAAACGCTCAGCGAAGGGTCGGAATCGAAGGGGGCGCAAGCACAATAGCCGTCCATCGATTCACAGCGTGAAAACGACGAAAATACTAATTATTTATTTCGAATTGTCATCGCCACCCGTATGTTACACGACGAAGAAGACCGAGTTACTGCTGGAAACTGGTGTTTTTCGCGGTTTTTAGCCGACGTACAACATCATTTCTAACCGACGTTCTGCAAGCATCAGCAGCGTGCATCTTCAGAAGAGATAGTTGCTCAAAACACTGGATAGTCAATCTACAATAATTTTAAGATGGATTCTAAAGCGGAAGACACGATAACATATTCTTGCCATATGCGTGAAAACCATTGCTAAAATGATGCTTTATTCAAAAAGTGCGCATTTTAAAGCTCTATTTGAAAATGTATACCAGAGTTTAAATCTAAATATGAACCAAATACTAAGAGCGGTTTTGCAGACCCGCAATAATTATGAATTTTTGCATTCCGCTCATTTTTAAGCTCTATTTGGAAATAAATACTAGAGTTTTGCAGCTCAACCAGTTCTCTAAATATGAGCCAAAGACTAAGAGTGGTTTCCAAAATCAATAAAAAAAATTATGCCTTTTGCGTGCAGACCAAAAACACTACAAAAACACCGAGACGTTTTAAAAAAACATAATCCGAATAAACCATTCACAGACCCGTTAAGAACGCGTACTCAGCCCATGAAAAATGTACTTTTAATTTATTGCACAACTTGGCAAACTGAAAAATTCGGAGAATGTCTACAAAACCGCTGAATATTTGTTCAAGCAGCGCCTCCTGCTCATCACATCTGCAGACCACATAATTTATTGCCGACTAACAATGAAACATCCCAGTTAAAATATCCAATTAAATTATTTATACCACAAAACGATAAAATTAAACAGGTTCGCACACCATTTGATCGGAACGAATTGAAAAGAGGAATTTATAAATGGCTCGACTTGAACTAACCATAATACGTGTAATTTGGATCGACAATGTAACACAAATTGACTTTCAGAGACCATTTAACAAGTTGGAAATCAGCCAATCAACCGTTACATTATTGGGCCGTGGGCGGTTTATTGCGCTCTGATTTATGTTGTTTGAAAACGATAACGACAAGTTTTTTCTCTCAGACCTGCGTTGGATGCTAATTAATTGTTTTCATTGCCCGACCACCATGATAAAGCTTTCGGGTACACACACACACATGCATTCGGTTCCTCGCACTCAATCAATTAGTGAATATGGAAATCAAGTCTGAAGACGATTCATTTCGAATTCGTATTTCTTACGGCTTCGTTCCCATTAATTAGACTGACACTGACGTCCTTTTAAAATGGAAATCACTGGAGAACCATCCAGAAACGTTGGGCAGCTGACCGAACACGATTAAAATCAAATAATGCTTCACAGTAAATCATGAGAGCGGCGTAAGCATCATGAGCAGCAACAGCGACAGCATTATTCTGCTATTTCCGCATCATAAATTAGTCGACACTTTGAGCATAATTTGGCAAAGCAACCGGAGTCAATTAGGGGCCCACGAAATCAATGACGATAATCTCCACTCTCTTGAACACAGTGGTGTGCCGACAACTTAACCCCTTCCCTTATATTGACATGCCAACCAGCTCAATGACTTAAGACGTCACTGTCATCCATTCCAAGATGAGTGTGGAACAACCGTCCATTCTTTTTCTTCAAGTTTCAAATGTACATTGACGGCCATTAGAGACCGGACGCATTTAATTGGACATTAAGCGATCATCAACGAATCAATTAAGGAAACCGTGGGCAACACGGCGACCCCTTCCAATGCCCGTAATCGCATTTATTAAATCTCCCCTTGTCCTAATTACAAACAGGACATGATTCGAGCGCACGCAAGGGCCCAAGGAATACACGAGTCATCGTTAACGGACTGGGGGAGTTCGGATGTCTTTACCTCAACCGCTGCTAAAATGAGGTGTTTGTTGTCAAAACTGTCAAAAAAACAGTTGTCAACGCCAACCGAGAAGGGAAAACCCAAACAAAGAATTTGACATAGCGTTTCACGTCATCGGGTTTTGCGTCGAATTTTCCGAACCCAAGGATAGGCACTTAATTAACTTAAATAATATTATTATCATGTGGCGGCCCAGCCGATACTTACTCTGTTTCAACTGGATTTACACCTAGAACAAAGCAAAAAATTAGTATTGTGGAGGTCGAAGCAAAGTGAATTGAGACACTTATAAAAACTGTTTTTAGCATACTTTACAAGACGGGGGTTTAATTAAGTTGTGCAAAAAAGACAAAGAAAATCAGAGATTCAATTGGCAACACTGTACAGGCAGCATTAGTGAAGTACAAAATCAAACGGTCAAAACTGCTCTTAAACGCGACATCGCCATTATTTCGAGTACAAGATAATCCTTATAAGGTGGTCGCCAGATATAAATAAATCCTATGAATGTGACGAGCATTAAATTAAAACAGTACTTAACATTTAAACTTGTTAAAAAAAACCACTCATATGTACGTTTTGATGTAAATTGAATTAAATTAAATATGCTAAATGTGCGTAATAAATGAATGATAATGAGGCAGTGAGAGCTTGTAGGATAAACGGTTCGCATCGCTCGATTTCCAAATAAATAATTGTTAGACGTTGCCCACACACATTCGTTATAATCGCTATAATAATAATGCCGTGCCCGTTTGTTATGCTAATGCACCTTAAACATCGTGCTAATGACGCTCAATAATTAACAGTCTGATGATGACGATTATGATTATCATGATGATGATGGTGACGTAACGACGCGGGATGGAAAATATGTAGAGGACATTGACAGGATACGTTAATGTCATTGGATTTGATAGGCGTCAGAATTCATGGAGGGTTAAAATGGGCCGGAAAATAAACGCCACTGAAGTGGATTACGGCCCCTCAAATATCCGTTGCATCGATTTTTCGCACAAAGAACTGGCGCGCCAATTTGCAAGCTTCACGTTTTCTGGACGTGTAATAGCGACACGGTTTGCGGCTTGCAATGCGGCCAACATGGCACTTTGCACGCCAACATTGACAAATCATCGCTGGAATAAGCATTCCGACTGCTGACAGTGATTAAACTGTGCTAAAGATGGCGCACCATGCAACTGCTCGCCGACCAGTAACAATCCCTTGAAAGTGATTAAATTATCCTTTAGGGAGTCGTCGGACGCACAAGGCAAAAACTCCGTAATTGGAATAGACTCGAGGGGCGTGACCCGAACAGAAAAACTTGAACAGCCCAAAGCTGAACAATAGGGTTTATATCTATGAAATATAGAGAATGCGCGACAACATTGGAACACAGATAACGCAGACTGGTGTTTGCTCAAGCTGGTTGATTAAATAAATGCGTTGAAATAATATTTGTAGAAGAATAACACAAACCGATTTCCTCTCTACCTTGGCGTTGTTTGTTTTGGCCGTGAACAAATACGAGAGCAAATAAATGGCTAATTCAATTTAAATAGCTGATTATTGTCCATATCAGAACCACTAATAACTGTGGAAATCGATTGGTTGCACCGCGATCAATCTCCAACTCATTTTTAGCAAACCGAAGCCTGGTGGTTATTTGTTCTTCCATTAAACATGCTAAAATACTGGCTAAACCCGTCCCATAAGCAAACGCAAATAGCTTCAGCTAATAAAGCAAGACGTGATTCTTTATCGTTGTCGTGCGGGTCTCCCGTCGCTAATGACGGTCCCAAAGCAGGCCAAAAATCGACCATTCTTTTACTGCTTCGAACAGTGAGCTCAGCTATACAAATATATGTGTGTAGTACAACAAACGGGCTGTCTAAATAATTAATGTAAAATATTATCATTAGATCCCAGTATAAATGTTTGGTCTGGCGAGAGAACAAGCGATTGACCAGATTAACTGGCGGATTAAATGTGCAAGATAAACAGGATATGTGGCTCATTTCGCTGAAGCCTGCTAGACGAAAGGTCTTACCAGGCACTCTTTAGGGGCCATCAAATTGCCGATATCCGGTGGGCCATTTCGGATTGATCAAAATTGTTCCACTGAGCGGCAATTGCGTAGGCTAAAACAACACCGTCAGGCCTGCAGTTAGTTGTTTTTGTTCAATTCCACACAAGCAATTTCCAATAGGCTCATTAGGCCCAATTAGAGCAAGTCCAAAGTCTAGTACCAGTGACTAAGTAAGAACCTCTTTCCTATAGTAAATTGGTTGTTTTATTCACAAAGCTTTTGGGCCTTCAGCACCTCTATGGGGCAATGAAACCCCGGCCAGACCCATGGGGCAGTTTGCCCTCGAACACTTTCCGTAAATTCCGCCCAAAATCACCGAAATCCCTTATCGAACAAGCTGAATAATGTGCAGTTGAGCCAAACGGAAAATAAAGGCCCAATTGCAATCTGTCAAAGCCACATTCACAAGATGGCTTCCTCGGAATTATAACGTAAGCATTTTTCTACGGGCGACAGAGACGGCAATATAGGCACTCGGCGGGAGCGAGCAGGACAGAACGCTCCCGACTTAGGGACCAGAGAGAGACAGCCAACGGGGAGAATAATTTTGCCAAAACGGGTAAACTTGAAGGGTTTTACCCACCAACGAGTTTTACTCACCGAATGGGACTGTTGATCGAGTGAGTAATATCCGTGTGGTATCCGGGGTGGGCAAAAGTGAATCCAGACGAGTAAACACGACCAATTACACTAAAACACTAACACTAGTATCACAATGCACATATCCTTGGGCAATAGGCGCCCCACTGGAACGCACAACACACAAAAACAGGCAAAAACGCAAAAATAAAATCGTGTTATTGGCACGGCACTCTTCTGCTCAAAGTTACTTTTCACGAGAACTGCAACGAGCAGCCACAAGGCACGGTTTTCCAAACAACGAACTCGATCGGCTCGTTGCCAAATCTCCAAGCTTTGCCGCTGATCGTGTTCGATTACCTTTGGAATCTTCGGAAAATTGTGCGTTGTGTCCTGAAATTCTCCCAGAGTTTTTTTTAACTCGAACAGTCCCCACAAGGGATTTAAGGGCGTGGCGCAAATAGTGACTAACCGAGTGAAATCCTGCGTGTACAAGCCCTGAAGTCTGCAGACACGGGATCTCTGCCGATGTCCGGCAACGGCGTTAAAGGACTCGTCAGACTTTCGAGTATCGTCGGGACTGCTCGAGCGTCGGACAACCCTTGGATGAAGTGTTTCTTTTGCTTCCGATAAAACAGGATTTTTTGGGATTGTTTTAAATAACACGGCTGGGAAGGATCGAAGGATGGTGGCCTCAATTGCTCCCAACCTTGCCAAACAGTTAATCAAATCGGGGAATGGGGGATTATTTGAAAGTCCGCCCCTAAATCCTCAACTGAAGTGACCAAAACCAATCAACACCTTCCAAAGCACTCGGGCAACATAAAGCAATTATTAATAATACTCGATGCCCGTTTCGGTTCGGTAATCTTCAGGCAAATAAACAGCTAAACGGGGATAATGAAATTATTCAAAACGTGTATTTATTGTTTTAAGATTAAGATAAAAAAAAACGTGTCAGATAGCGATAGCATGTGGAGATGCGGACGGCTACCTACAATTTCGGTCAATAGTACATTTCGGGGGATTTTCGTTGGGTCTATAAAGCCCAAAAGTTTCTGAAAATCTTTACATCATACCCACGACATTGTGCAAATTGGCAAAGAAACCCCAATTTTTCTGTCGAAAAATCGCTAAATAAACCAATCTGAAACTCTGGACTCTCAGCACTCTAAGCTGAGAAAATGTACTTAGTCTCAGTTCACGTTTCGAGTGACTGCGTTACCACCGAAATTTTTAATTTTTAATATTTTTTTAAATTTTTAATTTTTAAGTGATAACTTTTTATGGGAGGGTGAACCGATTTTTCTCCTTTTTAGATATCTATTTTGTAATCTTTCATATTTAACATAAAATGATAAACATCATTACTGTTTTGTAATAATATATAATAAATTTGTTTTGAATTTAATTGAAAAAATATTTGAGTTTACCTCGGTTATTTCAGAAAACATGGGTTCCGTCTTCTTATTCTCTATCCCGCAACGCATTCTTGATGTTAAGACGATACGAATCTCCCTTCAGCTTATAGTTGCAAAATATGTAAAACGAATTTACTAGGGCATATTTTCAATTCTCTATATTATTTCTAGGATTAATTGTATTTACCACGCATCAAAATAGATTCATTCCCTTCATATACCCTTTGATTCCTTTATGATTAATCTTCTCAATTTAGTTTAATTTTTTAGCCTTGGATTAGTTCAGTTAGAATATTTTTTTTTGAACATACGCGCGTTGGTTTACATTATGTATACATATAGTGTGTCAAGTGTATCCTGTCTCTATGGCTCTTCCTCGTTTTACCGTCTATTTTAAACAGATAGAACGTCTTCAATCACCAAAATAAATTGATTTTTTAGTCCTATTCAGATACAAGTTGTAGCAGACATTCATGAACAACATACACAAGAGCAGTCATAAAAACATGCTAAAATGCGAAAAGTATTAAGTAATGCTGAACGCCAAAAACTATTTCGTGCTGAAAAAGGAGCATTAAGTAATAGATCAACTCAAAGTAGCTTTCATGAACCACGAACTAGTGCTGAACGTCAAACATTATACAAAGCAAATAAGAAATTATGACAAAAAAATACAGAAACTGAAGAATGAGAGTTTACACAACCCCAAGAAGAGCAATATGTACAATATCTCGTTAAAGAATGTTAAATGTTGCAAATAAGAAAGATATTTTACATTCAAAATAAAATAAAATTAAATTCTACCTATTCCTGATCCATTTATAAATTATTAGACTAACAAGAATATTAAAATTATAAAATAAAATTATTAACGACATCATGCGTTAAACAAGTTCAATATTTTATGGTTTCTATTAATTTATGAAGTTATCACTTCTGTCGAGCGTCCCGTGACGCACACCATTTTTTTTTAATTTCAATTCAATTCAATCAATTCTTAAATATTTCGGTGGTAACGGTGACTGCCAGAATTCCAAGCAAAACTATTGAATCCGGCAACGTGGGGCAAGGTGGCAAGAGAATAAAGTTTCGGTTTTCCGCTGGAACAATCGCCGAGCCGGCGATTGTTCTCGCCTCGATTGCAACCAGTGACTTTAAAAAGCTCTTTTCATCTCGCGTTCATGTTACTCGTAATACAGCATATCGCTTATTTGCCGGTTTCTTTTGTGCGAAACACTGCACCGGATGCCTTGCCTTACATGGGACGCGCTGTAATAATGTTATACGTCCATGAATTCTTTTTCGAAATTATGCGATTTTAATTGGACCCAGTTGAGCGAATGGTCAAGCATTTCGGTTTGGTCGCTCTGTATGTGGATAAATTATATTATATCGAGGCGCATACTTAATGAATGTAGAATTTTCGCTTTAATTAAGTGTTTTAATTGATGATTGCAAATGTTTGTTGCGTAAACTGCGTGCACGATATATTGATGCTTTTCAGCACTATAATATAGGACTACTTGATTACTATCAGTTAATTGACTTACGGTTTGGGTATGTGGAGAGGCAAGTATTCAGCTGTGATCTAATCAGCCCCGAAACAAATGCCCGTCCTCACGTGCATTACACATTTAGTCAGTGCACTTGGCTTTTGCAGTCAGTTGGCGATCATTTGGCGAATGATTGTTTCCCGAGGCGGCTGGATTGTCGGCACATTTAGTCGGTGCACTTGGAATTTAACACGACAATTTGCCAAAATTGTGCCCTTCCACACAATGAATGAAACAACCGGCTGGCAACACTTTCAGGTTGAAGTTCAGAGGTGTTCTGTGGGTTGAAGTTCCTTGCTGTCATTTTGACATAGGAGAATTTCCTGGCAGTCAACCAGTGACATTGACAGTAAATTCAAGTATCGACACTAGCTAAATTATCCGCGTTATTGGCCGTGATGTTTCACTTCTCGTCCTCCCACTTGCACCTCAACCGTCTGCAATTCAACCTCATCATATCCGGCCTTTCGAGTGTGCTTTTTTTCTCCGGATGGTGGATTATTGCCGACAGTTCAGTGCAGTCCGTGATGGCAGGCAACCAACTCTACTACCTGCCGGCGTTGGTTGGCACCTTCGCATTCTTCTTCACCAACATCATCCCAGCGCACTTTTTTTACGACAGCCTCACTTACCAAACGGGCTGTTTCTCGCCAAATGTGGCCCGCACTTACCTGCTCGTCTGCCTGATGATCAGCTTCGGATGCCTCATTGCGGCTTTTTATGTGCTGGTCAACGATTTCCTCCTACAGCCGCAGAACGAGCAATGGCCCGGTTACGGCGTTTGGCTGCATAATGTTTTTATTTTTATCGCCAGCATGCTGTTAAGATTTGCCAGGAAACACGATCCTTTTTATTAACAGTTGCCTTATTTCCTATAATAACAGTTGAGGGCATATTTGTAATACAGACTTTTGGTGACTTCCAGTCCCTTCTCATAGACAACCGTAATTGCACCGTGCTTTTCTAAGCAGCGTTGTCAACCCTATAACCTGTTGCTTAACTGCTCAAATGTTCCATGGGTATTTTGCTATTATTTATGCAGGCCGGAGTTTGACCATTTCCTCTCAGGAATTCTATACTATTTTAAGTGGAAAATGTTTCGATTTTCAGTCATCATCAAGCCATTTTTCAACACATCAGACAATTTTGAGAAAATTTTAAAAATTGCACGTTGTTTTCCCGGATATTTAAGCAGGTCGTAGTTTAACACTTAATGGCTCAGCAACATGCAAAGTTAGAGAGTCAATTTTGCATTATTTTTATAGGCCAAAGTCTGTTCTATAAGTGCGAAACGTTTTACTCTTGAACAGGGGTGGATCCAGCTTTAAAGTCAGGAGGGGGTTATGTAGAAAAAATACAGTCTTCTGTTATCTATGAAATTAGAAAAATGATCGGCGTTTTGTGCAAGGCTGGCGCAAGATTATTGCAAAATTTCATGTTTTCCGTCCTGTTTTGCATGTTTCTCGGAAGCAAAATTAGCAAGAACGCTCGTTTTTTACATCATTCCAGAGATAACTAAATTGCCTTTATTCGAAGTTTCCCAAGAACCATTCGTTTTGGCATCGTTGGATAGAGAATTGAATGAGGAGGTCATAACCCCCATGAACCCCCCTTGAATCCGCCCTTGCTCTTGAATCATCTTCAGGAATCCTCAGTATACTTTTTATAGATTTTGCAGAATTTATTACGGAAAAACTAGAGCTACTGGCAACACTGACTGAGAGAAGAAGAAGAAGGCAACAGGAGCGTATTGTCATAACAAAATTTAACCTCAACATTGAATTCAAATTTACAACTTATTTGCAACATTATTTTATATGAAGGGCTTAACTGAACCGCAATGATTCACGAGCTGCTTTTCAACCTGTGGAACAACCCAGGAAATACCGTTGTAACTGATGATAGCGATGTAAGTATTAGTTGCGTGTTTCGTTCTCTGATTGAGATTCCTATCCACTAAACCGGCCCCCTTTTGGCCGCGGTTTTACTGTGCGGTGCTTTCATATACTCTCTGACTCCTTCTCTCCATCCAGATGGCTTCGCCCTTAAGTGTCTTAAATATGCATTTAGAAGTGCTGGGGCTAGGAAGGGGAATTTTTCAGATAATAATCGATTCCTTGTTATGTTTTCCAGTGGAGGCATTTGTTTGAGCTTCCCCAGTTCCTCCACCCAGGTGAAGAAAGTCTTCTTCAACTGATCATGCAGATCGGCATGGACTATCACAGAATCACCACGTTCACCAATCAAGTTTTGTATCCAAACTCCTCTGAGCAAGGTGAATAGAGGCGAGCTGAGATTAGCACCTTCGGGTTTTTGACCATTTCACCATTTCCAGCTGAAGGCCATAATGGAGTGAGCGCGCAAAGTGGATTCTACTTGAAGGCGTTTTGTAATGGCGTGCAAGAAGTTCTCGAAGACTACCGCAAAGAAATCATTAGCTTGGAAGGACGGTTTCTGGACTACCCGCAGCTGTCCCTCACTTACATCCTCGGTTCCATCAACAAGTACAAGGTGCTGTTCAGCGAGCTGAAGTCCATGATTTACAGGATCCGGCTGGAGAATTTGCAGGGATGTTTACTGATGAGCGGCCTCCACAAGTACACCATATGCGGCATTGATCAAATCAAGACTGCTGCCGATCGGTAGGCGATAGGGAACTGATAAATTCCAAACTGGTTTTGCTGTATTCTAGAGTTATTAAGTCCGTCAACGTCGTGTTCTATCAGCATTTACGCAACTGGATAATCTACGGCGACCTGCTCGATCCGTTCAATGAGTTCTTTATCTGCGATGGCCAAGTGTCGGATGAGAATTTTTTGTATCCGGAGCAGTTGGCCCTAAGCAGCCTTCCAGTGAGTTCGGTAAGTCCTCACTACGACTACCCAGACCAGGGTCTTATTGTCAGTTTCACTCAGAAAAGAAAAATTCGCAATCCACCGCCAGTACGGAAGTTTTACATCAACTGGGACTTGGTGCCGAGCTTCATCAGTGAGGACTCGGCTGAGAGCATTCTGTTTATGGGGCGAATCGTGTGGATCATCAGGAACCAGCCGAAAAACGACGAATATGCCGCCGACTTGCAGACCAAGTTTCGCAAAGACATTTGGGAGGGAAAGGACCGCGAGTACTGCTACAAAATACAGGCCCTATGCGAGAAGAGTTTCAACGCCATCAATTTTCGCATGGTTATTGAGGAGTGCCGCACTAAGCTCACCAAGGTAGACGAGCCCTTTTTACCATTCCGCAGCAGCAACTCCTCCCACTCACTTCTAGACTCTATGGTCCATAATGTTGAAAGAGGGCAACTTGGTGCAGCACCTGCACTTAATCCGGGAGTACTTTGCGTTGGGCCGCGGCGAACTGTTCCAGCAATTCTTGGCGGTTGCGGATGCCAACTTGAAGGACATCGAGCAGGATTCACTGATGGCTCACCTCAATACACTGTTTCATGACACGGCGCGCAAAATCTACGGCGAGAACGATAAGAACTACTTGAGATTCGAGCTGAGCTCTTCCGCCACTGAACTTTTGAGTAAATATCCACTGTTCGATTTCTCTTGAATCGCTGCTAACTTTGGTTGGTTTAGAAACAAGACTCTGGCATAGCCTGCAGTTGAATTTCCAGATCGAGTGGCCGCTGCACATCTTCTTTCATCCCGAGGTGATGATCTTTTACAACCGCTTTTTCTGCTTTCTGCTGCGACTGAAAAAGACTCAAATCAACCTGTTTAATCTTTGGTCCAACCACACCTTCAGCAAGCAGAAAATGTAGGTAGATGCAGCAATTACGACTGCACAACTGCATGGGTCTACATTTGTAGAAGCAGCGGCGTTTGGGCGCTGCGCCACAATCTGATGTTCCTGGTCAACAATCTGCAGTACTACATGCAAGTGAACGTTGTGGAAACGCACTTCTCTATTCTGCTGAAGGCAGTGAAGCGTGCCGGCGAGTTCGAAGACATCATCAAAATTCATCACGAATTTGTCACCAATCTTTTGGTTAAATCGTTCGTACTGGAGCCAGAAGAAGTGAGTGCAATTAAATTACCCATTAATCGGTAACTCACCGTACTGTCTCTCTGCCTTCCAGTCTCAAAATAGCACGATTAAGCATAGGCTGTACCAGCTACCGGCACTGCAGCACAACGTCCCCAGCAAGGTACCTTTTAAGGGAAATGAAGGTTTTAAGCTGGTAATACACAATTCTCTCAGGTGTACAACGTGATTATCAAACTGCTTGAGTTGTGCGACGAATTTTGCGCAACTGCCAGCACTTGGAATGCGGAGCTGACCGAGCCAGAGCTCCAAGAACTGAGATCGTTGGAAAAACGGGCGGAGATCGCAATAGAGACGCTTCTTTTGGTTCTGTACACCTTGCATAAAAAGGTCAGTGGTGGTCATCTCCTGCAGTTGCTTTTCCATCTGGACTTTAACAGGTATTTTAGCAAGAATAAGGCCGACTTGAACTTGAGCGCAGCTTTTAATATGTACTGATCTTCCTTAATGTACACAAGAATAATAAATTTAACTTAGTTTCAAGAGTGTGGCTAACTGGGGGCACCACTATTTATTTTTCTTGATGAGTTTCATGAAGAGAACCATATCTGAAATTTATCAGTAGCTTAAGGGTGGTTAACGACATAAAGCCATGCTTACTGATAAAAACGACCAGCACGACGGCCAGCATGATCCACAGCCAACATTTCCAGGCGCGATTCGAGTGCTCGGTCAATTTGGCTGATTCTGCGCCCAGTTTGGTCAAGTTTTTGTCGCTGATTTGTGTTGCATTGATAACCACCTAAAACCCCACACTCTTGTCTGTGGCCCCCATTGCCCCGCCAATCATTTACCTCAGTGTCTTGCTTGATTATCCTACTGGCCGCCTGAGACTGTTCCTTTAGGTTGGTGACAAACCCCAGCACATCGTCAGCTATTTTCGTTTGTTTATCTTCTTCGAACTTTAGGACTTGGTCCAGGTCATTAGACTCGCACTTGTCCCGTGTCGCAATTCGTTGTCTCAGTCCTACACAGCGTTAGACCTAATCCGACTGGTTTGCGACAGTGTCTTACCCAACAATTCGTCTCGCATCGACTGGGGATCATTGAACTCTTCATATTTGCTGATTGTGGTTAGTCCTAGCAGCGTTTTGATGTTGCGCACCCTTCGTTGGTAGCTTTTTATCGACTCAATCGGGGTTCTAGAACAGCCAAGTTAATTCTGATGATTTTTTAGACTCCGGATGCCATTTACCCGGAAATCTGCTTGACTTCTTGCACCATGTCCTCCAGAGTGGCAATGTACTTCTCAAATCTTTCATCGGGTTTGGGGTTCTTACTCATCAGCTCACACTTGGCCAGGAGCCTTCGTAAATTGATCTCCTGTCTAGAGAGTCCTATCGTTTGGGGGCTTACCATTTTTCCAATGTTTTGATGGGAATAGTTCAGCTCCTTAGTTTCTTTGGATAATTGCACCAATTACCGATGTAGCTGACGTGTATGGTTCAAACTCACTGTTTAATTGTTGTTATCTATTTATTTAACTACATTAAAAATTGGCAGTGGTTGATTACTGGAGAGAGTAAGGTTAAGGAATGGGGCTTCGTCTGCATAGATGAAGACAACTTCGTTCGTTCGTCTGTTTATTGTTAATTGAGGCTGGGTTTCAAAGTTGGTTTTTGAACTCAAAGCAGCTCAAAGTTCACTTGAAATTAAGCAGTTTCAGCAAGGAAAAACCTACGTTCGGCGATAAAGTGCAAGTAACAGCCACTTAAAATTTAAATTTTTGATTTGCTCATTGGCGGTTCTTCCAGAAGGCCACGCCCAAATTCAAGTTTAAATAAAATTTCAATTTTATTCAAAACTAATCCTTCGAATTATTTTATCGTAACTTTGGTGCCCAATTGGTGGAACCTTTGCCGCCTGCATTGTTCGTGTGCACATTTCATTGCGCCTGGCGCTTACGGAAGCACAAAATGTTGGGTTCCGCCCATTTTCTAAGATGTATAGTTTGGCACCGTGGCGCGTAGTGTTTTTGATTTGTGTTTGCTTAGTTTTATGAACGATCCCAAATTATTTCTCATTTCATCAAGTGTAAAATAAATAGAAACTGCCGAGCCTAAACCACACCCCGTACACTAATGGGGTCATTAACTAATTGGGTTCAGTTTCAACCTAACCAATAAAACCCGCCTCCAACGGCGCCCTATCGAGACCTATTAGTCGCGCTGTGAGTGTGTGATAATGTACACCGTGTTGAGACAGTTTACCAAATACCCAAATAAATGGAAGTTCCTGTACGACATGCGGCAGTTTGCCCGAGTGAGCCCTTTCAAGGAAGACACTCTAACTGGACGGTTTATGCTATTTTTGGACAATTATAGAATTCCCGCTAATGCCAATCATGCCGATTTACTGTCCGCAGTAAGACGGTGTCCTGAGGATATTAAGGCCTTTGATGCCCCCCAAATCGTTGCCTTGTTAAGGGCGCTAAGCGACAGGGAATTGTCGTCGGACAAACAGGAACTTGTTGAGCTCGTAGACTTGGAATGCTGTGATAGAGTTAACCAGTTCAGCATTGAGCAGACCTGCGATTTACTATGTGCCTTTACTGATGTGATCGGCCACCGTGTGGTCGAATGTCGGTGCTTTGAACCGGCATTGCAGAGTCTCCTGCAGCAAAAGAGCGCACTGGACCATAAGCAGCTGGTGCATTTGATTTTCTTCGTAGGGCTCCTGAAGAAGTGTGACCATGCTCAGAATATAATTAGACAGTGCGTGAAGTCGTTGGATAAAAGCGGGATAGAGAGCTTAACCAAAGAAGAGCTTTGCATTATCTGCAACGCCACGTTTAAAACTAGCACAAAGATTAAGCACCCCGCGCTCTTGGCTAAAGTCAAGGAGTTCATTCAGGACAATCTGGACTTGCTGAAGGATCCTGCAGTGTTCGTAACACTAATCAAGAGCATCAGGCATAACCGCTACCAAGACGAGGACATTTTAAACACCATCACTTGTACGATGTTCTTCAATAAAACGCTGGGACATTATTCATTTGGTGCCCTGTGTCACATATTGGCTCTGTATGCAGACTATTTGTATTACGATGAGGCTCTGCTCGATGCCCTCGTGAGCCGCGGTGTTGGGCTGTTAAAAAGCTGCCCGTTTCAGTCGAAACGCGCTCACGTTGCGGATCAGCCTCGCGAAAAGGACATCAAAAGATTCTTGTGGGCTTTGAGCAATCTCAACTATCGCCTATCTAGGGAGGACATTGAGGAGGTGGTGTTGCCCGCCATCGATGTGAGGAGGCAAGCTGGAGGCTTTGGCAACCCCGGCGATCTGGTACAAATCGCCTTATATTTATGGATGATGCATTACCAAGCTCGCAATCTGATCCTCACCTGTGTCAATGAAAAGTCCGTCCAAGCCATTAGAGGTAACTTGAAGTTCAGTGGGCGGCATCAGTGAGAATTTCACTTTTTACAGGCCCAAAGCTGCCCAGTCAAGACAGCCTGAATCTGCTACTCACTTGCATCTATTATGAGAACCCCGAGCTGTTTAAAGAGCTGAACATCTGCCTGGAAAAGCCCCAACCTTACAACTTTTCCTTCCAGCTGAATAAGCGGCCCGCATTGCGACAGATTGTCGATAGTCTGAAACGCGCTCCATTAAGGAACAACATCGACAGGTATGAAACGGCGTGCCAAGTTCCATTCATCAATATCATAGGCGTCGTTGGGCTGCAGAAGCGACTCTACAAAACGGTCAATGTAGAGGTTTTGGATGGCTTCACTTGCCTGAAGAATACGAACAATTCGCCTACGGGGTTCATGCAGCTGAAGTTGCGACTGTTAGAAAAGCGCGACGAAGGCCTGATTGTGGTAAGTGGCGATCTTGGGCCTGGCCCTGCTCTAAGTTTGTTCGTTTGCAGATCTGAAGCTGTAGCGACAATAAATGTCCGTTTCTTTTTAGATGGAGCAGAATGAAGTAGCTGAGTGTGCAGCCTCGGAACTGGAGCATATTTTGCGCGATGAGATCGCTTTGGTTTGTTAATTGTTTGATTCCTTGGTGTCGTACAATTTCAACTCATTTATCAACCGAAACGTTATTCAGACTGGGTTTGATAGCATGCAACTTCACGCTTTTCTTTGCTGGCGGAAAGGTTCTTTCCTAACTTCAATTTTTTGCTTGAGGTTGGAACCTTCTCATATATTCTCGCCTGTCCAGTGAATTGCTTACTATAATGCACTTAATAATGTTAATAACAAAATTACTTAGCAAAAGAAACAGCAATCACCATTTTAAAGATACAAGAGATAAACTTCGACTGTGAAGACAGATCCAATAAGTGGTGATCAGTGTTTTGTAATCAATGTTTAAATATCAAATGGACACGCTGTGAACCGCCAAAGCTTTCCATTTTCCACATTTTGCTCAATTTTTTCATTCTTGTAGTTTTTGGATTGTTTAACTGGATTGTGTAGCGTCACTAGGAGTTTATGGGTATATACAGGGTAAACACCTGCAAACAATGAAATGAACTGATGTGATATATACGGTTGGTGATTTAATGAATACGCCAATTTAAAGTAGTGGTTTTCTTCAGTCATAACATTTCCTAAAATGAGCACAGTTGTCGTTCCCTCACATGTCCCGTAAGTGTTTTAGGCATGTTTCCAACCCCTAGAATGTGAAATGCGCGATTTCATTCGCTCTACAAATACAGGGAGCCATCGGCCGGTCCCAAATAGTGCAGCGAGATCAGGACCACATCCACTATAGTCCAGACGCCCAAGCCGCCGAAGCTGAATAGTTTGCCAATTCCTTCTTGCCAGTGGCCCAAGTAAAACCGGTCAGCGCCGAAGCCGCCCAGCGTAATGCTCAGGGCCAAAGTGGTCCACCATCGTTTGCCCTTCGTCCAGTTGCAGACAATTTTCTTGTAGAACGTGCGGTGGCCTGGAAAGCCCCAATTAATACCTGCCACTCTATGGAAATAATCGAGCACTTACCCAGACATAGAATATTGTCGTGCACGGTGCAGTTGCTAGTGTAGATGTCTCTAGGCGAAGACACTGAGTCGCAGGTGGCTCTCAGATCGCAGTTGTGTTCCCACCTCTCAGTCTGGTAGCAATAGCGGCAAATGTACTTTTTGGGAAAGTCTCTACGGCCCTGAAAATCGCTGATGTCTGATACTGTCCGAAAACCCTGAAAAACTGCTGCGTACATGGCATTTAGTTGTACTTTTCACGTGGCAGTCTGCGTGCAGTAATTCTCCGTATTCGCAGGTGTCGTTCAAGGGGCAGTGCAAGCATTCCACTGGAAGGTCTTTGCAGGCGAAGTTGAGCGGACAATTTTCCACTGGTATGTTCTGTAACCAACCGAATATATATGTATATGCAACGTCTTAGGACTTATCCACCGAAAAAGAGAGCCGGAGCAGCCATCACTTATTGCTAACTGAATTCGAGTTGAAATCCCCAGTTAATACCTACACGCCGCTGTTATACTCACAAGTATATCGAGCTCCTTAATATCAATCGTGGAAGTTGCGTTCTTTCTCACGTTGTTTGCCGTGAGTTTTATGGTGTTATCAGCTAAAAATCAACATTTTGAATGCTTAAAATGAAGATTGTAGTTCCTTACCTGATTGTATGTTGTTCGCCAGAAAAGTAAGTAACACGAAAACGGCCTGGCGTATGTTCATGTGGATGCATCTCATTTTGTTTCTAAACAGCCAATTTTTTTGGAAATATGGCTCTTACCCCAACATTACAAAAATGTTTGTTGTTGTTTGGCATTTGGATTGGAACAGCTGATGTGTTTTTGACAGCGTTAATTACGGAACGACGCTAAGCACAAGAGAGTCTGTACTTATTTTTCTTACATTATCGGTTGTTTTGAAGTCGGAACCCATCTAAAAGAATCTTTAGTCCGTGTCTTTAGCTATGTTTAGTACTTCAGCCATTAACAATGCAGCTCCAAAAGGAAAAAAACCTGAAATTGAGCTTAAACTGATAACCAATTTCCTACACGGGAACACTAACCGGATATACTGCAGCAACTAAGGCGGGAGATTTGAATGAGGAACTCTCATTGGAGGACTTCAGCCCCTCCAACTTGCAACCCTCAAATCTCTAACCTCGTTGGCTCAGTTGTTTACATCAGCATTTTGAGTGTTGTGTGAGTGTTTTGGTTTAAATAAGCCGACATTTCCAGACGACGACCAAAAGTCGTCAAGGAATTGTTTGAGAGGTCAACGCATTCTTGGCGCCATGGAAAAAGACGCCAAAGCGTTTTTAAGGGCTCAAGTAGAAGTGGAGCTGCACAACAAGAGACACTGTGCTTATGAGTCGTATCAATGCTCCCATTTAACCATCGATGGGTACAAGTACTGTGTAAAGCACATTCTGAATGACAAGAATGCCCCATACAAACAGTGCAATTTCATCTACCAGAACAATAGTAAAAGATGTCATTTGCCAGCCCCAAAGAGCGACAGGAAGGATTATGGGTATGTCCAAAGGATTTCATATTACATAGCCGTATGAAGCTCACCAACGACCCGCACAAGCATGCTTTTAACTTTGCTGACTTCACAGAGTACGCTGTTTACTTTGTTGATGGATTTCCATTGTTTTACAAAGTTGTTTTCCGCTCTCAACTAATGTGATATTGTAGATACTGCAACGAGCACTCTTTGAAACAGTCATTATCCCGCAACAAGCAAAATGGAAAACATCCTGCACCCCTAACAGGTGAAACTCTACTGACTAATTTGGTTCACCATGTGAAGAAACCTCGAAGCAAAGGTGCGGGCTCTTCAGGCCAGATCCAGCATGAAGAGCGCACACTTGCTGAAGAGTTGGGTGAGCCGAAGGCTCTAAAAGTCCCTGATCCTTTTGGTGAGCACCAAACAGGCGAATTTCGCCGCGTGAATGTTACGTTAAGTGTGAATTGTAGTTGATATTGATGCTCCCGCCGTTTTCAATGAGCGTTGCAGTGAGGTGTTGGACATGTGTAGCGAATCAGAGAGCGATATTGAGCCTTCCATATATGCTACAGTGTGGCATGATGCAAATGCCGAAAGCTCCGATAATGAAAGCATTGACTCTGAGGATACTGATCCGATGAAGTGAGAAAGTTTTAAAGCAACGTGAATTCTCCGATTGTTTTTTAAATTGCCGGCAATGTTTCCAGGCATGTAAATGTGTACACTGAAGAAGAAGTAACCAGTACGACCAAAAATAAACTCACCCGACTTCAGGCCTTGTATCTTGAAGAATACAAGTATTTGAGGTATCTCTTGAGGGAGAGACGGCGCAAATACATCCATGCCCTCAAGCGGGAAAAGGAGACCTGTTGTAAGTCCCAGAAAATCGCCTTGAATGCACGCTTTTAAAAGACGCTGTTTTGCAGGCAACATTTATAATCAAGTGCGAGACGACCCAAAGGAGCAGAGGCTCTACGCAAAACTGAAACAGTATAACCAATATCATCGATCCTTTGGCGAAGATGCCATTCTCGAGAGGAAGCAACATGAACTAAGAGTTAAGGTAGGAATAAATTCATGGCGTTTGAATTAAGTAGGTGCTGACCGTTGGTTTTGTAGGCCACCGAAGGGGCGCAGGCAAAACCGCCGAGTTACCCTCGATGCCAGTTTACCGAAGGCGGCGTGAAATGCTCAGAGAAGGTGCTGCCTTTGGCGAAGCATTGCCGGAAACACATTTTGGAGGTAATTGACGTGTTTTAAACGGAGGGGCGTCCATAACTTGAAGTTTTCCATCTTAGGACCCCAATCAAGTTTTGTTCAAAGCCTGTGGGAAAACAGTCGCAGACATTGAATGTAACACACCAGTTGAGGCTATTTTTGATGATAGTACCTGTAAACTGCACATGGAAATGCCCCTTATCAGATCTTACAGCAATCCAAGGGTGAGTTTTTTATTTGAACCGAATTTAGTCTCCACATTGTGTCATTTAACGCCGTAAATACAGCCGTGAACCAGAAATCTTCATCTCCGAACCAAACCCTCGGAGATGGAGAGGAAGGCTTTTGAAATAATGCTATTGATGTACTTTTTTTGCAATACCTAGACTTCTCAAGGAAGTAAATACAAAGGGGTGAGTTTGCTCATTTTTTACTTTCCTGGTTCTGTCGTGACTATTATTTGCTTTTTTAAAGCCTCAGTGGTTAACAGGTGCATTTTTCTGTCTAGTTTGGGCGCATTGATACTAAACCCACTAAACTCTTCGTAAGCATTGTGTAGAAGATATTTCAAGTTGGTCCTCAGTAACTAGGTTTGGTTATAAGCGACGAGTGTTTAGCACAGTACTATTTTAACTAGAAAAGTGCATCTGGGTGCTTGCACACTTTTCTTCTATTGGACTTTAAATTGCTGCTTATCAATGGCTAAATTTGGAACTATTTATCTGTAACAGAAGGAATCGGAATCTGAGCCAGAGGATACTCTAGATCTATCCGCGCACTATACGCTGCCTTCCAATGATAACGTAAAAACCGAGATGATCGACTACTCTTTGCCGTCGTTGCCGAAAATGGAGTCGTTGCCTTCCATTCTATTTGAAGACAGTGCGGAAAGTCTATCGTCTACTTTACAGGTCAGTGTTTCAAACGAATTCCCGGCAAACTGTTCAAACATTCCGCTTGTTTGCAGTATTCAACGTCAGAATTCGCTGAAAGTTTCGCCGAGCAAAGTTCGGTAGATGTGCCAGAGAGCAACTCGCTTGATCTCGACATGAGTATGCCAGCTGAAACCCAGCAGCTGGAGCCACACGTTAAAAACCCAGAATTATTAACGTTCACTGGTGAATGCCGAACGGCAGAAACTGGCGAGTTGAGTTTGGAAACTGGCGGATTTTCCGACGATGTTCAACCACCGGTTTTGGACGATTATTCGCAGAACGCTAGCGAATTGAATGTTGAGCTGGCTACAAATGGAAATGTGAGTCAGGGAGTCGACAAAGGTGGTGAAGAAATCTATTTGGAGAACCAGGAGAAGATGGACGTTGATTAATTAGTTAAAGTTTTATGGGCTAATTGGAAATAGTTATAAATAGTTAAAAAGTTTTATTTTTGTTTTTTAGACGTTTCTCCTCTTCGCCTCTTGTTAATTGGATTGCGAGGGTCGTAAATTTCAAACCAGTCGTCGCTCTTGGTATTGGCATCCTTTGCCAACACTACGTTATCGCTGAATGTTAGCTTGTGGTTAATCCTAGGAGGAAAGCGGCCGTTTAGCCAACATTATTATATTATCAGTGAGGGTAATTACCAATTATCATCGTCCTCATCACTCTTGCTTGCGGCTTCTGCTTCTTCAATGTCCGAGTCATTTCCATTGGAGTGCAGTTTGGTTTTAAAACTTTCCAGCAACTTCAATGTATCCTTCTCTCTGTTCACATCTGGAAATTGGTATGAAAATAAGGTGGCAACTAGCGGTAGGAAAAACATACTTTTTTTTAGGAGTGTGGTCTTTTTTGGTTCATATGAAACCAGGCTGGTTTTGTATGATTTGAAAATTTCGCTTTTGTCGCTATCATCTTGCAGCTGTTCCTTCTGCTCCTCTTCCTTTCTCAGCTTATTTTTGTGGTACTCTTGCTTGACGCTTTTAATTTCCTTTTTAAGCTCCTCCCTTGATTGGTGGCGAAATTAATAATTAACGCTCATTTACTCGCTTGGTTGGTGAAGTGAACTTACATTTTCTTCTGGTTTTCCCTGTCCCGGTCCTTATGCAGGTAATAATCTTCCAGGGCGTCATCGTCATCTGCTTCGGCACTCATTGCAGGTTTTGCCGGTTTGGGTTCAACGGGTTTGGGCTTTTTATGGCTAGTTTTCAGCTTCTTCCTTATGTTCTCCAGTTGCTTCTCTGCATCTTCTGCGCGGTCTTCGTTGGGCTCGGTTTCACGTATGTCGGTCTGTGAGCTCAGCTTTGGATCATCTGAAATTTGCGATAGTGGTATTTTACGTTGAATAAACTCGGACTGAGTTGCTACCAAGAATATCATGGGACGATTTGCCCCTAGCGCTCAGCTTTTCGCTTTCCTTTGTGGATATTTCCTCGTCCTCTTCAGCTTCTTCTCCAAATGAGAGCAGCTTGAAGTTCCTAGAATGAACAAGATAGATTTGAAGGTAAATTAGTTTTAACTAGGAACGTACTTTACTCCGGCCTTTTTCTCTTTCTTCTTTTTTTCCTGAGTCGGCGCCTGCTTTACTCGCGGTTGAATGTCCGCAAAAGGGTTGTTCAGAACTTCAGTTTTCGTAATTTTGTATGGATAGACCGGGCGCTCGTCCTCGACTAGTCCCTCCGCCAATTTCAGCATGTTGAAGACCGTGTTGCCTTTAAGTGGAAACCCGCTGTTTGCAAACCTACTTAGGATGATCTGGGTCTAGTTCTCACCCGAAACTTTCCCAAATATCGTGTGCTTATTTTGTAGCTCTGGAGTGGCAGCCAGAGTGAAGAAAAACTGCGATCCATTATCGTCTTTGCCCGCGTTTGCCATGGCCAGCAGTCCTCGTCGCGCGAATTTCAGACGCTGATGAAACTCATCCTTAAACGGCTCCCCATAGATTGACTCACCTCCTGTGCCATCCCCCTTGGGGTCTCCGCCTGGAGCAGAATGAGGCTGTGGATCTTTTATTGTTTTGGCACCGACTTACCTTGCACAATAAAGTCTTTGACCACTCGGTGGAAGATGGTGTTGTCGTAATAACCTTCCAGGCATAACTGGATGAAGTTTCTGCAAGCTTTGGGGGTTTCCTTGGACCAGAGTTCTATGTCAATGTCCCCGGCCGTAGTTTTGAGCAGAACCTACAAGTTTATGGGGGTTTCATGCCCATTTTGCTTGCGAGCCATTACCTTCACTTACTTTGCCAGAGGTGGGCGGTTCAAGAATATAAATGTTACTCATTTTTCTTTGGATAAGTACACCACAAACTACTCTATAGACTATGGAAGTAGTCCACTGTTTATTTACCAAAAGCGAATTTGCTGTGTGAAATGAGGTTATGGTAACATATACAGGGTGTGAGTTTATCCGAAGTCAATTCGTCCCCCGTCGTACGAATTGACAGATCTCCAACCAATAGAAACACTTTCGTATCATCATACCAACGTATAAACGGTTGCATGGGACACAGGCTTAACTGTAGCCGTTCAAAATAGTCTGATCTGGATATACAGGGTGTTGCTCCGGAATGACTGCGAATAAAAGTCACAAAACTATTGGAACGAACGTTTTATTCCGAGCTGAAACAAACAATTTGAGTAAAAAAGGTATGCTTTCATTCGATTCCTTCCATTAATGAAAACAAGAAACAATGGAAAATGCATAATGTTGCATGAAAATGTCCGCTGCCTTCATTGAAAATTCGACTGCAATTCAGGAATTTTTTTTTTTAATGTTCGCCGCCGTCTCTTTCCCCATTTCTGAGAAACGTTTGAGTTAGAGCGCTTCTTTTTACACCAGTAGATAGAGCATTAGATGGAGGTTTTCGAAGGTGAAGATCCTATGAAAAAAGTGGTCAGATTTATCAAGAAAGCCTGAAGAAACTCCAGAAAAGTGCTAGTTTTACGCGGGGATTTTTTTGAATTGTGACTTCGATTCAAAAAAGGCGCCGCGGTGTTTTTCGACGATTCTCTAGAACGATTTGAGTCACAAAACCCGACAAAATAGTGCCAATTTTCTACATCCGGATTCTGTAACATAAGCGACAATTTTTAGAAAATTTTTCGGAGTTCCTCCAAACCATCAATCAATCCATCATGAAAACTATTCGAGCTTTCAGATCAGCTGTACGCCAAGCTATCGATGCGACATGTTTCGATTTCTACAGCATCATCAGGCTCTGAAAGGGAGTTTTTGAAGCGCAAGTAAGTTCTGGACGCGAACTCGTTGCACGTGCGCTTTCGTAAATGAATTCTGCAAACCCGCAAGACCAATGAGGGAAAATCAGAGAATACAAGCATTTGCTATTAAACAAGAGTACAAGTTGCAAGATGGCGTAAGCCTAATAGTCCCCCAATTAGGCCACACTAATTGAATTTCCGTTGTTTTTTGCTGTTCGGAAATTCGCTCGAATATTTCCTGGATAGCACTAGCATTTCGTCGCATAAAATGCATATTGATGCATTTGCCGTTGTTTTTTGTTCCCACTGTGTAATAATAATAAATAATCTAATTTACAATATTTAATTAACAATATAATTTAATTTACTAGTACATGTTGAGATTCCCCATTGACTTAGTTTTCATCCACTTCTTGTTCTTGATCCTCATCGAAATCCTCTTCTTCATCGTTGGTTGCATCTTGGTACTGTTGGTATTCAGAAATTAAATCATTCATGTTGGATTCAGCTTCAGTGAATTCCATTTCGTCCATGCCTTCGCCGGTATACCAATGCAAGAAAGCCTTGCGCCTGAACATGGCGGTGAATTGTTCGGAGATACGTTTGAAGATTTCCTGGATTGCAGTGGAATTTCCAATGAAAGTAGCAGACATTTTCAGGCCTCTGGGTGGAATGTCACAAACGGCAGTCTTAACGTTGTTGGGGATCCATTCGACAAAGTAGCTGCTGTTCTTGTTCTGGATGTTCAGCATCTGTTCGTCAACTTCCTTCATGGACATTCTGCCCCTGAAGATGGCCGCAACAGTGAGATACCGGCCGTGTCGGGGGTCGCACGCCACCATCATGTTCTTGGCATCGAACATTTGTTGAGTGAGTTCGGGTACAGTTAAAGCTCTGTATTGCTGACTGCCTCTGGACGTCAGAGGAGCGAATCCAGTCATGAAGAAGTGCAGACGTGGAAAAGGAACCATGTTTACAGCCAGTTTGCGAAGATCTGCATTCAGTTGACCGGGGAACTCTTCAGCCCAGACGACAACTTTGTATTTTTTGCAGGATTCCGCCTCTTTCCTCACAACATCCAGCGCTGAATCTACCAATTCAGCCCCTTCAGTGTAGTGGCCTTTGGGGACTTGGAGCCCGGCACAATGGACTCGGTTCGATCTGGGCCTTATGGGCAACTCTTCAGCCCAGACAACTATGTATTTGGACAGTCTGGAGCGGGAAACAACTGGGCCAAAGGCCACTACACTGAAGGGGCTGAATTGGTAGATTCAGCGATGGATGTTGTGAGGAAAGAGGCGGAATCCTGCAAAAAATACAAAGTTGTCGTCTGTTCACATAAGTTCCACCGGATGCTTCGTTGTAATAAACATTAATCCTTTCCAATTGGAGGTCGGAGTCTCCATGGTAGGCACCAGTGGGATCAATGCCATGCCCGTCGGAGATGATTTCCCAAAACTTGAAAGAAAAAGAAACTGCGTGAAAATCTGCAAACCGGCTTTTGTTCATTGAAATCATGCAAGCAGAGGACGGAATCTGGAGAAAATGGCTGTTGAAGTTCGCGTTGCAAAATGTCGACCAGACATGGCTGCCCGCCTTCAGTCTCAGTAATGGAAAATGGAATGCCCCGATAGGAAAAACGATAAAAGAAAGTGCACATACCTTAGCTCCATTGGCCGGCTTGAATGTGAACGATTTCCCTCATTTTTGA